GTTTGCGGAATAAACTGCACCAAACAAAATATTCATCATTTTTACCTCGACTACCGAATGTATTTATGTATTCGTTGAATTTCATATCAGAGAAAGTCGTTAATTATATTTTTAATTGATGAGTACAATTATAATTATGATAATTGGATGATATGATTGGGTTAGGGGATTATTCCATTTATTCATCGTGTGGTTTCAACTGGTGAATGAATGAAACGGTGAATTGACGGAAAATTGACGGAATATTGTGCGATTACGATGTAATTAATGACTCCCTCCCCCACCCTCTTCCAAGATTAAAACGCACGTTGGAGAGATTAATGAGAAAATGTTGAAACTGGTGTTTCGAGAGATGCAGAGAATTGCGAAAATATTTTTTCTATCAAAAAATCAGTGATCTCAGTGGTCACTGTTACCCGGTGAGATATAATTACCCCCAGTTCCCCTGTTATACGTGAAATCTTACGACGTTACGATTGGCTTTGTGAAAATGTTTGGAGATTGGAGATTGTGAAATGAGTAGTGAAAACTATGAGTGATCGGTCATTTTTTGCGATTGTCATATCAAGGTTGATTATATTGGAGTAAGAGGGCTATTTATTTAGAATAATACTGAATGGTCTGTTTTAATGTGTCACGGGCTACACGTACTGTACTATAATATCTAAACAATAAAGTATTTTGTTTGCTTCAACATTCAATATTATTTATTTCAAATCCCCATGTCATTTCCTCCATTCCATCCGCTCCATTACAAAACATCAAACCCCAGAGGACCATAAATCATCTATTCGTCCATAAATAAAAAAATCCAATCGATTGATTATCTGAAAAAAAAATACAATTTCCCAGCGTCTGACTATAATCCGGCTGCAACCCCTGGCGATCAATTCAATTTTCATTCCCTTCAATAAAAAATTATCCTGACAATCGATTGATTTGAAGATTATTAATTAAGCATTGGAGTTGTCCAGAAATTACTCAAGGGTTTTATTTATCTATTTTTCAATTCTATTATGCAATAAATTGGAAAGTTTGGGAGAAATTTCTCTTTCAATTATTCGTCGCATCGACTAGATGAACGAAATGTAAACATAAATTACAAAATTGTTGGAATATATAAATATGAAAAAAATGTAAATGTGTTATTTGTCTTTTTTGAAAATGAAGTTATCGGGAATGGAAAATGGTGTGAAAGGGGACTAATCAGTGGAAAGAGGGGGAGATAATTTTATTCAAAGGCCTGAAAAAGGAATATTCTGTTGATAACCAATGAACTAGAATCAGATTTGAGAAAATTAACGAAGTGAGCTCTTGGGAACGTATCGTCGAACTCCAATGAACAAATACGAGAGCTGCAGTGTTCGAAAACTAAGCCCCACCTAATCGGATTATCCGAGGACAATTGTCCCGATACGTATATTCTGTTTGTTTTCGTGCGATACCACTGAGTACACTCGCAACGCTCGTCCATAAACAGAAAGAAAAACTAGTAAAATAGTTCAAGATTTCGCACTGCGAAAATCCTCTCATCTGCATTGAATAATCAAATAACGCTATATCGAAAAAAATAGCAAATCTAAAGCAGATAGCCGGATTTAGATGATGACCTTTTTTGTAGCTCTCAATTAGCACTACAGAAAATATAATAACAAAAAATTAATTATCTCGCTTAACTTCCGAGATATTTCCAAAAAAAGCATCAACAATCCGAGTCAAATGATCAGTCTAATGCGGAATTAATATCTCAATTAATCATTCCATTAATTAATGGAAGTGATTAGATAATTAATAATGATATGCATATTTTTGTAGTATATATAATAATTAAATAGAATGCCATTAAAGATAATAATTGAAATATATATTAATAATAATCAAACATGCGTTTTACGGTTTTAATGTGATGGGATTAATTTAATAGTTAATTAGGATTTTTTATCGTCGGAGTTTTAATTTCCAGGGGAAAACTTCACGTCGACGGTTTTATGGAGTTGACGGACCACGTCGGATGCTGGCGGAAAAATTTTGTCACAGATTTTTTGAAATTGTCACGTCTTTTTCGAATTGCCGAACGTCAGAATTTTTAGGGCAATGAAATATTTGTCGTTCTCTCCCGGGTTTGTCGGGGTAAATCGCTAGAACGGAAGTATGAAATAGCCTGTTGCTTTGGAAGTGAAAACGGTGCAAGTGTCGAGGACTCATCACTCCATGAGATCGTTGACGGG